GTAAGATGTTAAATTATTATACAAAGGTTGTATGCCAATGGCATAGCTAATATGTTGGATGCATTAAAGATTGAATTGCCTGTGAAGAATTTTGGGCCCTGCCTTATAGAAGTGTAAACCGATTCCAGCTTGCATTTTTTTCTCTGCAGCCTTACATAAATCCTTACATAAATCAGTTACCAGCGGACCGATTATTTTATTAAAAAACAAATGCTAGTAGCGTTCCCTTCTCTGGGATTCAGTAATCTCTTCTCCAAGCCAAGTCTGGTTTGGATAAGCTTCTGACCTTGAAGGGGCAGATCTCGGCGGTGGCTATTCCTTTTCAAAGATTGTCTGCCACTCACTCCTTGGTTAAAGTCTGTGTAAGGGGTATTGCTCCTCCTGTTCACACCATTGGATCTTCTCTTGGTTCTGTCAGCACCCCAGATTCCATCCTTCTTCTTCTTTTTTTTTACCTAGTCTGAATATTTCCTTATCTGCTCTCACTTACAATGTAGTCTTCCTAGACACTACCTCCACAAGGGGGATCTGGCTTTCCTAGTGTTGCACAAGGATTAGATTGTCCTTCGGTCAAAGGCCTACTTTCTCCCCAAGTAGATTTCCTCCTTTCATCTTAACCCAGACATTCTTCTTCCCTTCTCCTGCTTCGAAACATTCAAAGGAAGTTTCTCCTCACTACCAGTATGTGGTACACTCTCTGCTACCACTCTTTTCAGAAAACAGATTCCCTCTTTGTCCTTACATAAGGATCCTGCAGGGGGCACACTGCCTCTCACTCCACCATTGCTAGGCGAATTACAGGTCATCATTTGTACATATAGTTTTAAGGATAGGGTTCCCCTTTTTCTTGTTAAATGCTTAGTGGGCTTTTCAGCATCAGTCATCTGTTTCTCAGATTTGCAAGGCTGCTACCTGGTCTTCTGATAACATGTTTAAATTGTACCAGGTTGATTTTTCAGGCCCCTTTTGATGTTTGTTTCAAGCGTAAGGTGCTTTAAAGGAGAACTATGAGGTGAGTGCCTTTCACTCGCCTCATAGTTCTAGCCGACCTGTGACAATGAGACTGTCACAGGTCGGCTCAGTAGATCGGGAGGTGAGCGAACATATACCGGCGTTCACTCACCCCTCGATCCTGTCACGGCTCTCTG